ATGTTACGATTGCTTCAAATATGGACACATTTCACGGGATAGCCCAAAAGAAAGACGAGTAGAAAAATGTCTAAAATGCGGGAAGACTGCGCATACTCAGAGACATCGCGAAGAAAGTAGCCACAGAAATGAGGCCAACTCAGTCTCGCGAGATATTATTGATGCTGGTGCCATCCTAAAACATTTTAAATGGAACGGCAACACAACGTTGGTCGGAACGATAGACACAGGCAGTTCTGGATGCTTATTGCGGAAATCAAAAGCAGTCCGGTGCAGAACAGAAATGCTGGAAGACGCTACCGATTTGTATGGCTTCGGTAGTCAGGGCGTTCAGGCTGTTGACGTGATTGCCAAGTGTAGGGCACATCTAATGATCGATGGTGTCGTGGACAAAGACATCGCGGTACTTGTCGTGCCAAAGAACAAGGCCCAATCGGTCGACTTGATTGTGAGCCACACATTTAGAGAGCTTCCATAGGTCACATATGCCAGATTGGATGGATTTAACAAACTTGAATGGACACCCCTACTTGCGATGGACATACAGGAGATGCCTGGCAGTATCTCCGTCCCTGTTGGGCCCTACCACATGAATTCAATGAAACGGGAGGCTATGCGCAACATTGCAAGGGAATGGGAAAAGGCGGGAATCGGCACCAAGATGCTCAGCCCGTAACTGCGCCAAGAATAACCCCTACGCAAGTGCATCGTAATTACGTTGGCTCCCTGTTGAGAACTTCAATGTGTGGCAAGAATTACCAAGTGAACTGTGCAAACTAAAACAGTTGCTTTTGCTTTTCTTCTATTTTTTTTCAACAAAGAAGCGATCTTATTTGTGTACTGGCGTATGCATTTTCTTTTATGATTATTTTTTTTTCATTAATGAGAATGTTTATGACTGTCGGGACGACCGGGTGTACACGGAACCCATTGACTGTTGTTTTCTTACCTTTTTTTTCTTCCCCATCGGTAATATCTTTGCTTGTTGGTTGTTAGAGAGGGGGTCTCGTTCCCCGTCTTCGAGGAACTATTTCGTGTGTGTGCGTCAGAGTGGTTTCCGAGTACGTTTTGTGTCCACGAGAGAGAGAGAGAGAGAGAGAGAGAGAGAGAGTGTGTGTGTGTGTGTGTGTGTGTGTGTGTGTGTGTGTGTGTGTGTGTGTGTGTGTGTGTGTGTGTGTGTGTGTGTGTGTGTGTGTGTGTGTGTGTGTGTGTGTGTGTGTGTGTGTGTGTGTGTGTGCGTGTGTGTGTGTGCGTGTGTGTGTGTGCCTCGAACTTGTGGAGCAAAACTGAAAGTTGGGCTAGTTGGTGATACATTATGGGCAGAAACAGCGGACAAACTCACGGGACGAAGAGAAGAGACACAAACAAGCGCTGCTCTCAACTGAAGAATTTATTGAAATATACAAGTTATCTGAACACTTAAGATAAAAACACACAGAACATGCGCAGAGGGGCCGGTGAAGGATTGTGTCGACGTCATTAACAATTTTGTGCTACAGGTAACTGCGCTGGCACGGCATATTCCATTCAAAAAAACATGCTACTGATTAAGATTTCTTCTTTTTCATGTAAAGATATTGATGTATGAATGACACATGACTCCCCTTCTTTTTTAATGAAGAATGCTTCCACTAGTTCTCTTGTGATCTGATCGCTATGTTTGAAGAACACTGTCGTTTCATTGAACAAGGGCCTGCATCCACACGTGTCGCAGTGCGAAGGTAAGTTCGCGTACGTGCTGGTCTTGAAGGTTCCAGAGTGTTATTTAATCGTACATAGAGACAACGCCCTGTTTGCCCAATATAAACCCTTCCGCATGTTAAGGGAATTCTGTACACCACCCCTAGTGCACAGAGTAGTGAGGCATCCCTGTGTTTAACACCGCAGTTCTGCGTGGAACCGAGGCTCAGCGCCGTTGAAAAGGTAGCCCTAGCAAGGACTGTTTCTAAGCATGTTACGGAGGATGAGAGGACAAGGTGTGTGTCTGAATGTGCAGATGTCATTATGTGGCAGTAAAAAAAACACAAAGGAAAAGCATGCGGTTACTACCTCTTGCTTGAGTCTTTGAAAGAAAAAAATGTTGAAGTTGATGACCGCGGATAAGGAAGGGTTTTTTGTACTGTTGACTGACGGACAGTTCTCTGAAAAAGCTTCAGTTGCTTTGATGAAAAACTTCCGGGTAGTGAAAGATGAGACGAAAAAAGTTACGGAAAGGGCGGAAAAGCCTCTTGCAGGAAATGAACCTAGAAAGCTTGTCTGGAAGTGTAGCGAAGGCTCAGGGGTTACAACTTGAAACCTTTCTTTTCGATAAAGACGCATAATAAGGAGCAGCCTTTTGGCACCATCGTTTCCGAAAGAGGCACATGGCAATTGATCGTTTCAACTTTTTTGCCGAAGCAACTGGAAAAACTATAAGTGATGGATCCATTCATTATAAAGAACTCGCAAGTAATCGTTGAAGAATTGCGGTGTGCTAAGTTTGATGGATGCACGGCATTCAGTGTAGACATAGTGGATCTATATTATTCCCTTCCACAGCGGGAGCTAATGAAATGTGTGAAAGAATGCATTACGAAGGACAACGACGAGCAACATTTCCAAAACGAATGCGATTTGAAAGTGGAAACCTTTCTAGAGTTATTAATGTTCTATTTGCAATCGACCTTCATCCTTTGGGAAGGGAAAACGATGGTTCAAAAAGCGGGGGTCTGTATTGGGTCTAAGGTGGTCCCAGTTCTCAGCGACATCTTTCTCGGGAAAATTGATTCCAGACTAGAAAAGAACTTGGAGGGGAAGGTGGTTCGTGTCGCCCGTTACGTGAATGATCACTTAATAGCAGTGCCCAAAAATGAGGAACACAAGAGTGTTTAAAAGGTTTTGCAGATCTTTCAAGAAACAGGGATGGGGCTGAAATTCACTAGCGAAATGCCTTCACAGCATGCCTTATAGTTCCTAGACATAAAGATGGCTTTTGTCAACCACCACCTTTGTTGGGCATATAACCCAAGATCTATGAAACCTTTGCTAATTACAAGTCTGGTCATTCAAAATTAGTGAAGAAGGGCATCGCTACGTTGAGCTCTGGGCTGCGATCTGAAGTCGTGTTGGCACCAGGCGGAACAAAGCTTCTACGAACAAGGTGTGTCGCCTTCAGGTAGCCGGCTTCCCGACGTCCGTTATCACTTCTGTTTGCCAAGGTCTGATAAGTCAGATCAAGAAGGGTGAAAGAAGTGTTAAAAACAAGAGAGGTCAAAGAAATGTGCCACCATGCCCTAAAAGCATAGATTAGCCCATGGACTAAAAAATGTGGCATCGCGATACGATGTACAGGTTCTATTCTCAGCAAAAACCAAACTAGGAAAATTGTGCCCTATGAAGAACAAAAAGCTTTATAAACAGAGCTCTAGCCAAAATAAATGCGGTGTTAAACACAGGGACGCCTCACTACTCTGTGCACTAGGGGTGGTGTACAGAATCCCCTTAACATGCGGAAGGGTTTATATTGGGCAAACAGGGCGTTGTCTCTATGTAAGATTAAAAGAACACTCCGGAACCTTCAAGACCAGCACGTACGCGAATTCACCTTCGCACTGCCACACGTGCGGATGCAGGCCCTTGTTCAATGAAACGACAGTGCTCTTCAAACATAGCGATCAGATCACAAGTGAACTAGTGGAAGCATTTTTCATCAAAAAAGAAGGGGAGTCATGTGTCAGTCAGACATCAATATCTTTACATGAAAAAGAAGAAATTTTAATCAGTAGCATGTTTGTTTGAATGGAATATGCCTGCGCAGTTACCCGTAGCACAAAATTGTTAATGACGTCGACACGATCCTTCGCCGGCCCCGCTGCGCATGTTCTGTGCGTTTTTAACTTATGTGTTCAGATAACTTGTATATTTCAATAAATTCTTCAGTTGAGAGCAGCGCTTGTTTGTGTCTCTTCTCTTCGTCCCGTGAGTTTGTGCTCTGTTTCTGCCCATAATCGAACTTGTGGCCAAAGGAGTTCGAAAAGCGTGAAAAATGGAGACTGAAATGCCAGGAGAGCGGGCGACAACACAGATTGCGAAAAGCAAGCGAACAGAGCGGTTGTGAGTGCGGCACGATGTTGAGTGATTGTGCATGTGCGTTTAGTCTTGTGTTTTTTAATTAAGTCTTTCTCATAATTAACTATAATCATCCTTTTTTTCCAGTGTGTCGTGTGTGTATTACGTTTAGTGCCCTAAATTGCATATAATGTCTAGGTTGTGAATATGGCTGGCCATCATCTAGCTTAGCATTAAGTGCATACACTAACAAACGGCCAATGGAAAGCGATTTTTTTGCACACCTGAATGAAAATCTTTGGCTGCAAAACGCATCGCACAACCGCAGTTTGGCTTACTACTTCACAATGCAGCCGAATTATTGCACTTACCGGGAACGCATTTACTGGTACATATTAACACATACCATTAAAGGGTTATTTTTGGCTTTTGTGACGGCAAACGTAGGAGTTGCCTTCTTTTCTTCACTGCGTCTCCTTCTTTTGGGCACTTGTTGGTTCACACTACAGGCTCTTGAAAATTTGCATTAACCAATTCGCCCATATTGCCAGTCTTCTTAAAAACACCAGCGGGGCCATGGTTTTCTCTTCCGATACAAGCTAATCTTGGCACAAGCTGCTTGATGTCACATTCAAAACTATAGCCATAAATTTTAGTGTGACAAGCTTGTATGTTCACCAATCTTCACTGCCCATATGATCCTCGCTTCTTGCAATAGGCGACTATTACAACGCTTACCTGGGACATTCCTTTGGTGCCTTGAATAGCAACTTTCTTTCCTAATATTTTTTGTTGTTTGTTTTAATCATAGAAGTACAGTTTTACAGCATTTACAAATTCCACAAGCAAGCATTCAAGGATTCACATGCTCAGCCACAACATGCCAAATTTTTTAATCATGCATATTTCTGCCACTTGCTCTGAGCCATGAGTAATACGAGAGTGCCACATACACTGGTCAGTGGAAGCCAGCAGGGCAGCATCCAGTGGAGCGTTGTGTGTCAGCAGCTGAGCCTCGGGAAACTGCCCCTGCAGTCGCTGGCTGAAGGCACCTACCTTCTCATAGGCTAGGCCTCGGTACACAAACACCTTGTTCTGAAAGCAAAATCATGTTGTTTGCCCTCACCAGCACAATCTGTAGCAGTAACAGCATTGCAATGGGCAAAGTGACAAAGCATGTTTTATGAAAGTGAGCGATTGATGTTACTGAGGGTACATTAGTACCAGAGTTACACAATCTCTTTAGGAAAGCTGTCCACTTGCAAAAAGGTGCTTCAACCGGTCAGATAAGACCCTTTCCTATACGGTATGCTATCTTGCACACCACTTCTTCACTTCCTTTTCAAAGATGTCAAAGTGATAGGCTTTTGTTCATTCAAAGAAATTGAGGTGACCATCATCAGTACCTTAAGTCCACTGTAAGATGAAAGTGTATCTCAATAATCACAGTTTACTTTTCTTGCTTAAGTTGATTCCATTTTATGTTTACATGTTTTTTCCTTTCAACACAACACCCAACACTCCCATACCTGCGTACCCACCGAGTCACTCTATTACTGACCACCAGTCATCTCTGGTACATATAATACATGTGTGCAAGTTTACAGCAAATTGTTCTCAAATGCTTCTTATAAAACGAGTGCAGGTAAACTCATGAGTTCTCATGCAACGAGTTGCTTCCTACAAATGTTACATGTGGTTTCCCCTCAAAACCGTGCCTGGTTTTGTGAACAAGATGATTGGCCCTTGCACCAGCCTTTTGGAATATCATATCTACACTCCTATACAGTGTTTCCGCATGCCGGTATACAACATAGACTGCACTGTTGGCCTAGCGATTGCATGCTGCTGTTAACGGTTAACAAATCTGAATACAGTTGAACCTGCTTATAACGAAACTCCATAAAACAAAGTCCTCGATATAATGAAGTTTTCTATTCCCCGTCCTTGCTCTATAGAAGCACATGTATTTGCGACCTCAATGTAACAAAGTAACAGTGGGAGACAACCTTGACATAACGATTTTTCCCCCAGGACAATCTAGGAATTTCGCTCCGCATTTTGTTACGAGCATGCATCTTCCGCGGCTGCCCCGCTGCCGACAAAGCGCGAAGCGGCGCGGCGCACACGAGCGCACCAGGCGAGAGCAAGCGCTCGTTATTGCGTGCGGGTGAGCGCGAGGCGAGCGGGCTGGCCTGCACCCCACGAGCTGGCATTGCTGCCGTTCTCGCCGCCGCAAGCGCATGCGCAAGGTGCTTTCTCTCGCCCACTCAAAACAAAAATAAAAAAGAAAGAGAGAAAACTACCTTTGCACATTGTCAGTTCCACGCTTTAGTTAGCGTCCCATATGTGGAGCCGCGCTGCATATGGAGGGTGCTTTACCGAATAGTTTTCCGCGGTATCCGTGTCTGTGTTTATGTCGTTCGCTCTTCGTTTTCGACGCCGTGTGCTTGTGCATAGTTTCACTGCGTGTGCATGGTGTGGCCCCTGACGACGTCCAGCTTTGCTTTTTTTCATTACCATAGCATTTATGCGAAGAGTCCCAGCTGGTTTATTGCCGCCGCCGTCGTCATTCACCGTTGTGCACGTATCAAATATGAAAACTCAAGGAAAAAAAAAAAAGACGCCCGTGCTCGGCACCCAGCTCATCACGATGCGCCGATACCTGCTTATCTCCCACGCCTACTTTGCCCGCAAATTGAGGGGAGAGGGGAGGTAGATACCTGTGCGCACGCGCTTATCCTTCAGCGGGGAAAATCGCGCCTCCGACTTTGACGGGAACAATTACGTTTAGTTGCCGGGAGCACAAAGATTACTTTGCTCGCTGGACAGGTGCTGTTCGCGAAAAGAGCGCACTTTTTAAACATGGCAAAGTAGCAGCTGGGGCACTTGTTAGTTCACATTCATATCAGTACCTGTGATTACGTTTCGTGCCTCGTTTTTGTTTAAACAGCGCATTAAGTGTCTAGTAGTAAACGTTGTTAGCTTGCTCTCATCCTGTGAGTTGTTTTCGTGTGCATTGCACGTTTCGATCTGCTTGCCGTTCTTAGCATTACATTCAAAATTGTTGCTATTGCAGTCATTAATTGCTTCGCCCTTGCAGCGAAACTGTGACTTTTCGTAATTTCGGACAACCGTGTCGTCCTCACTCAGGGGACGTGAGATGACATTAATTGCTTCGCCCTAGCAGCGAAACTGTGACTTTTTGTAATTTCGGACAACCGTGTCGTCCTCACTGAGGGGATGTCAGATGAGGTGTTGATGGAAACTCTCCGAGAACACGGTGATGACGGTTCCTCCGAGGTCGACTGCTCACGCGCTTCTTTCTTGCACAGCGAGTTCACAGGCTGGTAGCTTTCGCAATTAGCTGATTAGTTCTGGCAACATGAGGGCACATTGAATGCAACGAGATGAACGCAATAGCAAGATATTGTAATGGTATATGAAGTAAGGCTGCAGCCAAACTCTTTTGGATCGGATATCGCGGAACTCCTACAAAATGCTCGTGTGAGCAAATACGGCCTCTCCATGGAGAAGTGCTTTTTTAACACAGTCACTTTGCGTTGAAACCGCACTGATACTCACAGAGAGAGCAAGTGCGCCAGCGATCGCTACCGCCCTTAAAATACAAGTTCATTAATATTACTCGACTGATTCCCCTTGCCCTCCCCGTGTTGTTTTATGCTCCTTCAAGACGGGTGGTTTACTGTTTGAGCATTCGACAGCAGTTCCAACCCGCCGGGTCATCTTATGTACTTTCCAGGTGATAGGCATAGGCCGACTGATTTGATCTCTGCTTCAGCAGCGCTCGCGCGCTTTTACCCGCTCGAGAAAGTTACGATGCCCAGGGGCATCTTATCAATTTGTACTTGTCACGAAACATCGCAGCGACGGAAAAACCCCGCCGAGTGAATCTATGTATAATTGCTATCACAATAATAACACAGTTTTTTTACTATAAAATAAGTGTTTTGGGTTAGCTATAAAATAATTGTTTTGGGTTAGCTTTCCTTCAGTAACCCTCATGTTTAATTTGTGCATTTATTTTCCGAACTTTCGTACCAAATTTGCATGTAACAAAATCCCCTTCATAATGAATTTTTCTGAGACTTCATCAATTTCATTATAACCAAGTTTAACTGTGCTGCAACTTGTTCAATTATTCACAATATAGCTGAACCCCTTTATAAGTTACATTTACTGGGGAGCAATTCATGTCTTTTATATGAGGTGTCTCTTATAAGCCCGTTACCATGTATGAGTTTTCTCATCAGCCCCTATTTCAACGTAGGTACCCTGGCGTCTCTTATACTCATTTGTCTCTTACATCAGTGTCTCTTAAACAGGGGTTCGACTGCAACAGAAGCAGCTTTTTTATGCTTGGTAAAAGCCACCACCTGCCATTTTTTCAAGCAGAATACTTACTCGCAAGAAAGAGGGAAAGCCAAGGCCAAAGAATCCAACACGAAAGTACTCAGGCTCGGGCCTCAGTTCCTTCAGAATGTGCTCAAGAAACTGGGCGTGCGTCCTCTGCACAAAGGGTACTTCTGCAACCCTCTGTCATTTCATCAATTCTGCATGTACATGCCACACACATGCCTACGCTCACAGGTGCTACAAGTCATCTCAATGGAAAACAACACTGCATGATTTGCAAATTATGAGACATGTGATCACTGATTGAAACAAAGGAATGGAAATGCTTCAAGTAAGCACAAGTGAACATTATAAAAGAAAGCAGGCAGCTAAACTGTAAGGCCTTGATAAAAATATAGTACATACAATGGCCCTATTCTATGACAGTATAAATATAAAGTTTACTTTGGTAGCTTTGCTGTTCATTTAACGTCGAAGCTCTGTATGCAAGTCATAAAGCAGTAAAAGGTAAGTCAAACCATTCAACTTAATGAAACCGTTTGCATCTTATTGACTTGATTGATGCATGTCATGGGTATTACAATTGAATACAATACACAGTTCATTTCCCATTACTCCACATACACACTTCACTTAAAGAACAAAAATAACCCCCTTATTAGCTAACAACTGTGTCATTAAGTGTTTACCCAATACAAACAATTTGCATGTATTAAACATAGGATCTTTTCTAGTAATATTTTACTTATTTCCTTGTAAGCAGCTTTCAGATTCCCCTTATTTAAGGACAGCACGTTAAGGGAGCCACAAGAATAGGCACACTCAGTATGATACAGGAGACAAGGAGTTGAAAGCTTTGTTATTATTATTTACCATCAATTTAATGGTACCTCCTAGTAACTATGCGAGTATATACACTAAAACCTTAACCTAACAAATCAGGATATAATGAAATATCAGTTATAACGAAGAATATGAACAATAGTCTTGCAATAGATATAGTATTGGTAATAGACCTTTATAATGAATGTTAAGACATAACAAACTTATTTTTCTGCAAGATGACACTTTGTTAAAACGAAGCTTGAGTATATACGGATTTAATATTGCTCAATCAGAAATTCTCCCATGGTATCCAGAATGGCATCTAAATATCTTTACTTTAATATAAAGATGTCCCTCAAGTTTGTGGTGACAGCAAAAAGCCAGACACCCTGATGAGAAAGAGCCATGTGCTACCGAGATGTCAGCTCACCAGGATGGTGCTCAGCTTCTCGTAGTCAAACAGCACGCCCTCGTAGACATTGGCAAGCTCCTTACACAGTGGCAGGCCCTCCTCCCAGCACTGCATCAACACCACGGTTACATCATTGCATGTACATATCCCACATAAAAAGCAAATATTTCCATCATACTCATTACGGAAGAACAAACGGTCTCAATTTTGTATAAGAACCCTTGTCTAACAGTCTTCTATAGTGAACATTGAAATACTTTCCAATAGCATAAATTGTATGCCTTGCATATACCAATGTAGTGCTCATGCTAAACCTGAACAGAATATACAATAAGAAACTATAATACCATTGTTACTCACATAGTAATCACAACCTGTTCATAATGCCACAGAAACATTACTCATTTTTACCCCACTTCATGATAACACCCCAAACTTATACTGTCAGGGCTGAGCACTCGCTGCATTCCGTGCCGACCGGTTGTGCGCCCGCGCGCTTCGCGCGCTTGCGACCTTCGGCGTCATCGTAGCTCTGGCCGACTGGGCTCGCCCTGCGTCACCTCCTGTCGCCAACGACCTTCGACGGCAGTGAAGCTCTGACTTACTGGACCTGCTCTACGCCATCTACAGACGCCGACAACATCTCTCGCAAGTGTACCCCATCCTCGGACTCCAGTGACCGTCCTTCCATCTTTCCTGTCTCTCCTATCCCCTCAGTTTGTTGTTGCTTCTTCTTCCTCTTTTCTATACCTTTACTCCTAACTTTTATATCCCTCCTCACCCCCATCCCTTGTGAGCCCTGTGGCGGTGTCGCTCACTGAAGCAGACAATAACGGGGCTCACTTTTCTCTTCCTTTCTCTTTCTTAAGAACCACTACAGTGACAATGTCATACGAGGTCTGTTAGAAAAGTACCCAACCTTATTATCTATTAATTTTTTTGCGAATACCTGATGGATTTGAAACAAGCGCGTTTGCATCAGCCGACCTTGAACCTTCGTGCGCATGCGTGAATTCTTTCTCACCTGCCAATGGTGTCAGTCACTGGGACGCAGCATATGAGTAAGGTAGTGCACAGCGCTCTAGTCGGTTTTTCATTGCAAAAAAAATGACGGAGCGACTGAAGCTGCGCTACTGCATCGAATTTTGCCAGAAACCGGGTGACAGCCAAGTGGAAACCATTCAGAATATTAGGACGGCTTTTGGTGACGACGCTGTAGCCGCACACAGATTAAGGAGTGGTACAACAGGTTTAAAGACGGCCGCACATCTGTGGAGAGCGAGCCACATTCTGGTCGGCCATCAACATGCTGAAATGACCAGATCAATGCTGAAGTGAACGCTGTGGTGATGCGGGACCGTCGTTTGACTATTTGAGAAATTGCGGAAGAGGTGGGCATGAGCACTTTCTCTGCACATTCCCTTGTGACCGAAGATTTGGCCATAAAGAGAGCTGCGGCAAAATTCTTGCCAGAACTGCTCACGGTGGAGCGAAAGAAACTTCTTGTTGAAGTCTCACAGAACATGCTGGGTTTCACAAGCAGTGGCCCTAACTTTATGAGCACTATTATCACTGGTGACGAGTCTTGGATGTACATGTACAACCCGGAAACCAAATCCCAGTCGTCACACTGGAAGCAATCCATGTCACCAAGGCCAAAGAAGGTCCACCAAGTGCACAGCAATGTTAAAGTGATGCTGAGGGCTTTTTTTGACTCCCGCAGTGTGGTACACCCAGAGTACGCACCACAAGGTCAAGCAATCACCGAAGAGTAGTACAGGAATGTCTTCTGTCACCTACATGATACCATGTGGCGCAAGAGACACGAGTTGTGGTCAGCAGAAAACTGGCACATCCATCCCGACAATGCTCCTGCACATTTCTCACACTTGGTTGACATCTTTGGCGAAAAATCAGGCTCCAGTAGTTCAACAGGCTCCTTACTCTTCTGATGGCCCCCTGCCACTTCTGGCTGTTTCCCAAACTCAAGAGGACATTGAAAAGAGCGCAATTTCAGACAAGAGAGGACATTACGGCTGCAACAACAGCTGAGCTAAACTCCATTCTGAAAGAGGCCTTCTCAGAATGCGTCTAACAATGGCAGCACCACTGGGAGAAGTGTGTGGAGTTCTAAGGGGACTACTTTGAGGGCGATTAGATTTCCAATGCTCAAATTATGCTAGCTTTTTTTTTTTTTCTTCCAGCAAAGGTCAGATACTTTTCCAACAGACCTCAGATGTTCACCATTCTGCAAAGCAGCTATCGTGCCTCGTGCTCAGATCTGGCCTTGTGTCGTCTTGGCAACAATGCGTCGTCTTGGCATGCTACTGAGTATGCACACCAGCAAGGGGTAACGTAGTTGCCGTGCACTGCCCTGAATCGTTTCACGAATAGCGACACTGGATGCACCGTGTCTCAAACAAGGCATGGTCAGCAAGAATCCATGGCCACATCGTAAACTGCAGGAATGAGTGCTAGTGCATTGGCCTTGCTGTCAAAAGTAAAATTACATTCATGCACCATTTTCACAGCCACACGTAGTGCACAACTAGGTGACTTAAGAGTGTTTTGCTGCCATTAAATTGTCGACATGGTGAATGAATGCACGATGCTTTCAGCTTTTTTGGCCGTGCAGATGTCTGGTTACAATAAGCACCGCTTCCTCTCTAGCACGTATGTTTCCGCAATAGTTACACTGTTCCCCCTGTTCACAGTTCCAACTTTGAATGGTTTAATAAAAGGAGCATCAACCCACCACTGTCTACAATGAATATATTATCTAACAACGAAGTTGTGCTTCAGCAAAGTTTTTCAAACTACCTATAATCGAATATCAATAATTCGAGCTCGAAGGGGCCAGAAAATTTGTCCGCATTAAAAGAAGTTCGAATTAATGAAAGCTAAATAAACGGAGGGCTCTCCATGCAGTGGCACATGTGCATTGAGCTAACACATAAAGGGAAAGTTTTAGAAGACTTACATTTATTCACAAATCACAGGACATCCGTTATTAATTGAAGTAATCGGTGATGCGCATCTGCACACGCTTGCCTTGCAGCGAGTCAATCAATTTCCCACGCAGCTTGCAAAGCATTTCTACTTCGGCTTCAGCAACTTTCTGGCAAGAGAAGTTGCACGCGAAAATGTCCAGTGCCGACACTTTCTAAAGACGATGATAACGACTGCTGCGTAGCAAAGCCTCCCGCTCTCTGCTACGCAGCTGCAGTATGGCCAGCTCGTGACGAGAAATTAGGAGTGTCTCCATGCAGAGAGAATTTCAGAAAAAAAAACAACACTCCACGGCAGCTTTTTTTTTTTCCTTCTGCTCTCTTCCCGGGCGTCGTTGAAAGGAGAAGAGTTACAATGCAGGGAAGCGAAAGGAGGAGGCGTGGCACCGGTGAGTGGGAGACCATCCCCTCCCTCAAGGCACAGAGCCGTGCTCCTGCAAGGGGCAAGGGCTGCAGAAGATAGTGCTTTTTTCCTTTCCTTCAACCACACAATCATTCAACCCAGCGACGGCTTTCTTTTTTTTTCCTCTCTTTTTGCGCGCGGCATTGGAAGAAGGAGGGTCTTTACGTGCCAGGGACGGAAAAGGGAGAAGCGTGACATGGGCGCATCGCAGATCGGCATTTGAGAGAGAGCAAACATTCCACAGCAGCCTTTTTTTTCCTTTTCATTTCCTTTGCGGGTAGCGTTGAGGTGTCGCAGGTGCCGCGGCGGAATTGGGCGGGGTGCTAAGAGCATTTTCAGAGTACGGTACGTTCGAATTAACCGTCGGAAGTGGTTGGGCGTTTGAATTACAGGGCGTTTTCGCCCATTGGAATACACATAGTTTTGATGAGACCTTATCGTGAGTTCGAATTAGCCAAAAGTTCGAATTAAGCATGTTCGAAATAATGAGATTTGACTGTATATGTGAGCCTTCCTACTGGTAGCATTGGTGCACCCTGTCACTGTAGCAACACACATTTGGATAAAACGTACTCGCGGGCTAGATGGTAAGACATTACAGCTTATGGCAGCACACATCAGGTTACACAAAGGACACGCACATAAAGGGACGACACAAGTGGTGTTTGTTTGCATGTTTTTGAGTAACCTGGTATGCGCTGCCTGAAGTCCCTAGATTTTTCTTTTTAGCTAAGTACCAACAACTGCCTCCTCCCTCTCTCACATGCAGCCGGCGTCTGCGCCCATTTTCTTCCTCACTTGGAAAATTTACACAGCCACGTATGTCCAAGTACATTAGCCTTGCATCTTTCAACAAACGCACAAGGCTTTTCTCCTTTGGTCAGTGCCTCGTGGTCAGTGAGCGGGGTACTCGTTTCCCCAAGTGCTGGCAAAGCGTGACGAAGAGCATGGCTGCCAAAGACGAAGGTTAGCCAATCAGATTTGTCAATGGTGCTTCAATGGTTGTTGGTACTTAAGAAAGACCAGAAAAAAAATCTGGGAACTTTAGCGCTTCCATGAGCTGCAACACATTTGGAGGTATACATGTATCATTAATTTCGTCAGACAGACCTTTTTTTTAATTAAATGTAAATAAAGAGACGTTGGTGCCAATACGTGGCGCTGGCTACTCCTGTTCTCCTGTACAAAAGTTGACATCACACATTTCGTAGCAAACACAAGGCTATACATATGTACATAGCACAACACTTTCACAATGAGTTCACGTTTTTCAACACTGAGTGCCCACACCACACAGAAATGTGTCCACACTACATAGAAACATGTTGTCACCACACTGAGTGTAAAAACACAAGTAATCACGTCAATTCAAGTGTTCACACAAAACAAGAAAGTTCAATAAAATGTCTTTGATGATCTTGTTACTTAAATGCTGAACTGTTTTCAAAAAGGTTTTCCCAAAAATATCGTAGTCAAGCACAAAAATACTGTTTTGAAACATACCGGTTAACAGCGATGTGCATTTGTTTTTTGTTAAGGTTTTTTGTGCTATTTCTGATTCCTCCATAAAGTGAACGACTGCACACGCTGCAGTGGCTTGTAGCTTTCCTTTTGGCCATGGACCCAAGATTTTTGCAATTGATCATCATCATCATCATCATCAGCCTGACTACGTCCACTGCAGGACAAAGGCCTCT